GGTTTTCCGTCGAAACAAAAGCGTGCCAGTGAAAATCCAATTGGCCACATTAGCCTGGAAAACCCTCGTTACATTTACGCGTCACATTGCCAGCCATTTCCCAGTGAAATCCTCTTCTGAGGCGTGGCTCGATCCAATCAGCGAGCGCGCGCGAAATTAAGGTGTCGCTTGTCCAAAAAACGCAGAATTATCCCAAGTGTGGGAAGGGTTGCTTAAATAAAAATGAGGAAAAGGGTAGAACCCGGTGTAGTAAAGGGCACGTTTAACGTGCTATTACGCCCGCCATAAAAAAGATTAAAGATAAACCGCCATTATGCCATATTACATTGCTCTCTGGCTTTTCTACTATATTGTTACTGCAACTGTGTGTGTGTGTGTGTGTGTGCACGTTTTTCTTGCCAGCGTAAACCGCTGTGCAAATATTTAGGCTTGTCGTTTCTTCTTTACTCTCGGTTAGTTGTGAATTTGTCAGAATTTTTATTGTGTTGTTTTTACACAATTGTGAATGTACAAATTGCCATTTTTAAATTTTACCTTATTCTCAAATACAATAACGAGGTTAGGTTTGGAGAGAATGCTAACGGAAGATAAGAGTTAGTCTGATGGCAATTTGACGAACTCGGTGTCATAATTTGCACACATTCATTTTTGCACAGTTGTAAATGTAAAAATTATCACCTTACTTTCAGATACAGTAATGAGAATTCAGTGATTTGAAGTTTTGAAGAAAAAGATAAGAATTCTAAATTCACAAAATATCGTGAAAATTCAGCAAACGTGGGGTTAATAAATGATTAGAATAAAATTTTGTTCAGTACAGTACTGCACAAGACTAATAACAAATTTGGCGTAGAAAAACTCTTATTAATCATTGTACAATTCATGTAACTGCTGATTTATTGAAATTTGTTGGAATAGATTTTCATTTATTTTAATTTTTAATTAATTATTATTACTACTTTTCTTTCTTATCAGTTTCCTTATTTAACAGTTCAAAAGAAGAAAATAATTTCGGTAGAAAATACCTCTCGAACGATATTTCTTCTCTGAACTCCAATTTTTCTAATAAAAATCGCTCGGATGAGACCGTACGCGTACAACGAGAACAACAAACTACGCAAAAATCCTTACTCTTCGTTAATTCTTCAGAGCCCGCCGCACAGAACCTTTGAAATAGTGTCGTAATCTCAATCGAATATGTAACAACAAAGAAAGCAATAAAATGCACACACCGCTAGCAGAGCTATTAAAATTCTTCCGTGGAATATGTAGGTTAATGTGAAAATACGAGTGAAATTGTTCTAAGCGGTAAAAAAATGTTTAATCCATGGAAAATTACGATATCGCGTGACCGCAACTTCGTGGAACGAATGCAAGTTCTCCACCCCGTTCGTAGGATTTCAAATTCATGGAGAAAAACAAAGAAAGAAAAAAAGAAACAAAAGGAACGCAAACCGTTGTTGCTGCGTTCATTTTTCATCTATCCAATGGAGCTTCTATTTTTCAAGCTGAAAACTCATTACCGTTTTCCTTTGCTTGCATTCCGAACTACGTTTGATCAAACTTCCAGATTAAAACGATGATACATTTCTTGGCCAGGTAAACGCAATTCACCAACGATTCATCAAGAACTGCTCCCGCCGCTTGGAATCGCGAAACAATTCCGGGGGAAGTGATTTTAACGCGGAACGTATCTAAATGTTCGAACCACTTCCACCGCCGATTATTTTTCTCAAGCGAAACATTTATTCCTACCAACGTTTCCACTTTGTGGTAATTGTTCAACTGAGCGCGACTGTATGAGATATTTAACCCTCTCGCGACCTGGGAAGCTCGGAAAATTTGGAGGTTTGGAATCACTGTGCATTGCAAGTGTAGGAACCGACGACGGAAAAATATTGAGGGACCCAACGGGAATCCAGAACCCGGGACCTTCGGCTTTGCGCGCTACGCCAACCACTCCCTCTCTATTCTCTCTTCGAGGTTTCCTATTTGGGTATGGAGGCCCCGATACTACACTCGGCCATCCTGAACTGACATTCGCCCTCGAATGTCCTCGGTGCAACACAACTCAACGCTTTCGGGCACACTCCCCCACACAGTGGCACACAGCCGAAACAACGCATTTTTGGGAGACGTGCAACCCTCGAGATATTTTCATCTCACAGGCGCCTGGGGCTTCGTGCAGCCGTAGATGCCTCCATCCCGGACGAGCCCCCATTTGTAGGAACCTAGAGAAAACTATTGAGGACCCAATGGGAATCGAACCTGGGACCTTCGGCTTAGCAAGCCGAGGCTTTGCGCGCTACGCCAACCACTCCCTCTCTATTCTCCCTTCGAGGTTTCCTATTTGGGTATGGAGGTCCCGATACTACATAAGTTATAGAAAAATTTCCAGAAAAAGTGTTAGCAACTTTAAGAATTTTCTAACGAATTTTTTACCGTTCAAATCAATCCATATGAGAAAAATTGATACAGATCTCCGCAATGTCAATTTCAAATCTATAAAAAATTAGAAATTGACAAAAATTGTGAAGCGATCCCAAACTTTTGGCCGGTAGTGTACGTCCCACTTGAGTACTCGAACAGAAATCGATCTCAATTTAGTATCTATCTATAAAAGTAATAATAATAAAAAATTCTCCAGAAAAAGTTATTCCGCCACGAAAGGGTCAAGAAGAGAAGTCCACATTGATCGAAACAAAAGAGGAAAACATTTTCTGAACATCGAGGATGCCTGAGATACCTTACGTGCTTCAAACATCTAGGTTATCTTCGAGACCTAAGATATTTAGGACACTAGGGATGTCTGAAATATCTAGACCACCTTGAACACCCAAAACAGCTAATTGTAAGTACCGAGATTACGTGAACTTAGAGTACCTGTAATACCTGGATAACAGAGAGTGCTTCAAGTAATCAGACACCTCAAGTGTCTGGAGAATTTACAGCATCTAAATCATATCGAGTAGACAGAGTACCTGAAGCATATAGATTGGTACAGTAATCGCGAGTTAGAGTACTTAAGGTACCTGGAATATCTAGAACAGCGAGAGGATTCGAAGCTCTTAAAGTATCTGAAATATTTTCAACACCTTGAATGTGAACTTCTGAAGGATCTACGTTAAAAAAACTTGGGAGACTTGACGTACTTACAATATCTAGAATATTGGGAATTTTTAAGGCATTTGTATCCTTAGATCAGCAGAATACTTAATCCTTTAATTACACTCACCTGCTAAAAATTTCTATCTACAGTCATTCGATGCATATAGTTTTGGCTGAAAGTATCAGGCACCTTTATTATTGCAGTTTACTGAGAAAACTATTTCTTCGAAACCTTTCTATCGTTCGTCATCCTTTGTCGGCCAGATCAAAGGAATTTTGAAACAGTTGACAAGGTTTATAGTGAGACATAAAACAACTGAGTGACTCATAGCCTGTCAGCCCTTAGTTTTACTGTTAATATTTTGAAAGTTAGCGATCAACGCAATTTAATTCTTAGAAAAAAAGAAACGGGGTAAAAGTGAGAAAGAAGTTGCTGTGATTGTCAAATGTTCATACTGATAGATAAATAAAATTTATATTCAAAATTAACAAAAAATGACTGTTTTCACATTTCAATAGTTCGATTTTCTCCCAATACAAAAGTTTTCACAAAATAATTCATATTTTATGGGGTGTTTAACTTTTGGCCAAAACTGTACAGCTCAAACAATAGAAATTTTACCCAAAATTTTAATTAAATATAGTAAAAAGAGTTGAAATAAACAAAGCGCATAAAACACCGAAGAGAAGCAAATGGAACATGATCGACAAAAGTGAACTGCAAGATACGATCTATTTCCTCACGTCGAGCACACCTGAGACAAATTCGCGAAAGTATTACAGAATTGCTGCTCCCTGTATCGCGAGCCGAAGTAAGTACCTCGGGCGAATAATTTCAGATTGAAACCGCCTGTCGATCGAGAAAAGCAAATCCCGAACGAAGAAACGAAGCAGACGAAGCACACACCTTCTTCTACCATCAGACGAATTTTGATTAATGGCACAAGTTTCCAGCGCCTCGATAGCACTGGCCATGCTCGGAATTTATAATAGGGGAATACATTAAAATGGTCCTCACAACTGAAACTCAGCCCCTGTCGTCGCCGTGCCATTATCCCCGACGATAATTATGGAAAAATAATGTCGTTCCTGATGCAATTAATGCCTTCGTATTTTGATCGATGGCGGCAATTACGTTTCGAAATTGTCCGTCTACGGAGAAAACGCCGCAAGTTCTCAGATTCTCTGCATTAGTCATCATTGGTGACATCGATTGTCAACTGAGAAGGGGAAATGGCTATTACCATCTTTTGAGGTTTATTGCAGGTTTTGCAGGGTAATAAAATAATTTTCCCACCGCGACCAAGTGTGACTGAACAATTTTATAACGATAATCAGTCCGAGAGTTCGTCGCGTTTTCTTGCGATGCAGCAAAGATGTTTGTTCAATTTTTATTTCTAAAAAAAAAAAAAAAAAGAACAAATACTTATGTAGTTTGCAGTGCTGAATTAACGAACGAAGGATGTAGGTATTTTCCATTCCGCGTTTCCCCTAGAAAACATAATTGATATGCGAATACCGGCAGCATTGTTGTTCTCGAATCTTAAACCGACCGTGCGATAGTTTCGCGCAGTTATTTATGCAATCAATTTGTACGCGAACCGCGAATAATCCACGAGACCGTGCTCGGGCATTATCTGTTCCGCTAGAAATCACAGACAGTCCATTCTGAACGAACAACAAACAATAACTAGTCCGCGAACGTGGCTGTCCGAAAACTGTATTTCCCACGAAATGCAAATTCCTGGTTAAGCGGCGATATTACATCCGGCCTTAGAGTTCCAATCTGAATGCAGATCAGGGTTGCGTTTCGCAACGACGGATCGGCCAAGTCTGAGCAACTGTTAGTTGCCCACGTAAACTCTACTTCGTGATGAAACGTAGCGACTTACCTTGTAACTGCTGACTGCGTGCGCGCCATCGTAGATGTAAAGATGATCGTTGCAGTCCAATTGCAGTTGATCGAAACGGAGCATGAACCGTTGCAAGATGCTATGTGTCTGGAAGGTGATCGTGCAGTCGAGGTCTTTCTCGAGCTGCGAGATCACAACAGCACCGTCTATCTTTCTGTAGAGCTCACGCATGTAGTTGTTCTTGCACACGTCGCTTATTTGATCTGTGAATGGAGAATTAGCGGGACGTGAGACTTTTTCAAGTTGCTCGAGATCTGTTTACTTTCAGATTGAGACAAAGTATTCCTACTATACAGAGGTGAGAAATTGGCTAGAGCAAGAAATGCAGGCCTGATTGGGGGTCATATCCCCATAGATCCACCTTCTCCATCAAATATGGCACGTGTATTGTTATCATTGGCCGAATCGAATTATTTAAAATTGCGAGCAAAGTACTATGCAGAGATGAGAAGACCAGAGGCATACTCTTCCGTCACGTAACTTTATGTGATCCGATTCGTTGATGCTATCACGTAGACGAATAACGACTGTGCTAGAGAAGGTGGGCCCATGGGAATATGACTCAATCAGATCCGCATTCCTTCAGCGTATTTCATATTTTTATTACAACTTTCTAATCAAATATTTCCGAGCCTGCGTTTGAATAAAATCACTTCTTTAGATCACTTAACTTTGGAACACGCAAATAAATTGACGTATTTTATTTCAACTCATTTTTTATTTCAAACAATTCAATCTAAAAAAAATCCTCTATTTTCATCAATTAATTCGTACAAACACACGCTCGAGGACTATTTCAGCTTATCCTCCGAGACACTCGCAGGAAACAGTTTCCAGCGTACAATCGACTGTAAAAATTATTGTCGTTCTGCTGCTCGTAACCGCTTGCATTGATAAGAAACAACTTTATCGACTTTTAAATCCGCTCAAGTGCACCAGACATCGGGGCCTGATGTCTGTCCCGGCTGTTGGCAGGCTAGGTCGAATTATCCAATCGATTGACGACCAATTGATTCGCGCATCGCCAGGATAATGGCCCGAATTCGATTTCGATGCATCTGCGATTAACTTCGGTCTACTGAATTCGATGCGATAAGAGGGATGAAAAAAAAAGAAAAAAATTCCCAACGACGTATACACACGTACGTACACGATACCGTGGGGAGGGTAAAAAAGGAGTACAGTGGTTATTGAGTTAAGTACCTCGAAGTGGTACATCAGTCCGTAAAGTCGATATCTAGAATAGAGGTCGATTTCACCCCCGTCGAAACACACGGTTCGGCAACACAATTTCTAGAGATACGATTGTTCTTCGTTCTAACAGATTTTCTATTTGAGAGTGGAAATAACGGCTCGAAAAATTTTATAATAATTTATGC